AAAATCAATGATTTTGGCTTGAAAGAAGAGGGGAGCTTCAATTAGCGCTGCCCCCTCAGAAGGCCAAAAATGGTGCCAAAACCGTAGTAAAATCAATGATTTTGGCTTCAAAGAAGAGGGGGGCACTTTTCTCCCTCCCCCCGTCGGGGCCAGAATCCTCGTGAGGGGTGTCGTTTTTTAGCCCTCCCAGGAGTCGAAAAAGACCCCTCCGACCACCCGCGAAAGGACCTCTCCAGGCCCAGGGGGAGGGGGTAGGGGGAGGGGTAAACACCTCCCCGAAGGGGAAGAAGGGGGGTTGAGAACAGAGAGAGAGCTCGCTAAACCACTCACGCCCAAAGGGCTGGTGGGATTTGGAGGCGCAGCAGCGCGTCCAGCTCGGGGTCTCGGCCGCGCTCAGCCGGAAGGCGGTGGCGCCTGGCGACGGCGCGTGCCGCCCTGGAGGGCGCGCCTACTACAGGCCGGTCAGCGAGGGGCTTGGCCTGGCCAGCGTGAACATCCTGCCTGGCTGGGGCGTCGACGCGCACTGCCCTGGCGTGTTCGAGTTTGACTGCAGCGCGCCAAGCCCTCGCAAGGCTGGGCCCCTTGGCCCCTGGGCGCGACCTTCGGCAGCCCCCCTCCTTCTCTCCAAGAGACCGTCAGAGCCGCTGCAAAGGGGTGGGCAGGGCATGGGGGTGAGAGGGCCCCCGGGCCCAACGGCAGCATCATAAGGCACGACTACCTGGGTTGGCCCGACGGGCTGGGCGAGAGGCCACTTCGCATCGCTGCGGAGAAGACCAGGAAGGTCATCGGCAGCTCTGAGGAGGCCACAGGCTCTTCCTGCAACCCGAGGCGCACCCGAGTGCTGCTGTCGCTCGTCGACGAGGGTCTCGATGGGGTTGTTCGACATGCGGGCCGCTATCGAGGAGCGTTGCGAGTGGCCCAACCTTGCTTCCAAGCTTGCCTTCAACCCCGCGGAGCTCGAGAAGTTCAAGGCCTTCCAGACCAGCATCACCACCTCCACCCTAGTCGGGCGCCTGCTGCTGCCAGAGCCGCGGGCGGCGTGGAAACTGCCGCTGGATAATTTCCTAGACGGGTTGCAGTGGATCAAGGGCGACGGCGTGCCCTTCATCAACGCAGAAGTCCTCGCGGACGGCTGCTGCGACGAGCTGCTGACGCTGCTGGCCATCCTGAGGCGCTCGGACGCACGCACCCGCGCCAACTTCGACGCTTCCTACGTGGTGAACGGGCTGCTGGTGCGAGGGGGGGGGGCTGCTACTACCTCCCACAAGGCGTCCTGGGCGGAGGTCTGGAGGCTGATCTGGACTGCGCTGGGCGTTTTTTTTGGCGGCGTCGGAGAGACTGGGTTCACCATCGCGAGGGCCAAAGGCCACCACGGCACTCTCGTGGACGCCGAAGCTGGGGGGATCACCGTGCGCAGCAGGCGCGGCAACCACGAGGCAGGCAGGTGCGCGAGGCTCGTGGCGGACCAGTTCAGGGCGCCAGTCGCCGACAGGAAGGCCAGGCGATTCAGGGAACTCACCCTGGACGCCAAGCTCTACTGGGCCGCAATCGCTGGCGCGGAGGCGGCAGTGCTGTGCAGCGGCTCCGAGCGCGACTACGCGGTGCCCTCTACCAAAGGGCCCGTGCCGTACATCGTGCAGCACGTCATCTTCAAGGTCCCAGGCGGCGTTCATTGTCGCCGATGCCTGCGGTCAACGGTCGCGGTTGCGGGTATCAAGAAGTTCCGCACGGGGCGCTGCCACGCCATGCCTTTCGCGCCCGACGCTGCTGGCGCCAGCGGTGCCCGCGAGCGCCCTGCCTCTGCAGCGATGGCGCTGTCTGGCCTGGCGCCTGCGTCCACGGAGGCGGCGCCCTCGTCGCAGGACGGCGCCAGCGAGGCCGCTGCCCAGCAGGAGTCGAAGCCGAGGCCGCCAGAGCCCGAGGCGAGGGGCGCAGGCGATGCGAACAAGGAGGACCCCAACGGGCACGAGCTGAGCACCTTCCACGGGTACAGGTTCTGCTTGCGGTGCAGCCTGCGCGCCAAGGAGGTCAAGGGCAAGCGCAGGGGCCTTGTGGCGAGGAGCCAGGAGGCGGAGAAAGCCTCGGCCCAAGCTGTGGGAGGGAGAAAGGCGGACAAGATCAAGCGAGGTCTCGATCCGCGGACCGGCCAGCCATTGCCCAGGACGTGATCGCCCGCGCTGCGCCTCACTTTTGCTGGCTGCCGCGCGGGCGCCGTCTTTGCCGCGCACGGGCATTTTGCCCTGAGCGCTTTCGGCCCGCGCGGCCTGCACCCACCCTGGTTGCCTGCGCGGGCGCCTGCTTCCCCGTGCCCCTCGCATGTCGAGGCCGCCGTTTGCGGGCCTCCAGCGGCGGCGAACGCGCCGCCAGGGTGGCTGGAGCAGCAGGCAGCGGATCTCGGCGCGATGCGCACCATGCTGCTGGAGGAGAAAAAGTTCTCGGCCGCCGAGGGTTCAACCTGTGGCGCAACCGATAGGAGACGGTTTAATTCTCGGCCGCGGATGGCGTAACCTATGGAGCAATCGATAGGATGCGGTTTATTCTAGGCCGCCGAGGGCGCAACCTATGGCGCAACCGATAGGCGACGGTTTTATTATCAGCCGCCGATGGCGTAACCTATGGCGCAACCGATAGGAGACGGGTTAACTCTCGGCTGCGGAAGGCACAAATTATGACGCAACCGATGGGAGGCGGTTTTATTCTCGGCCGCCGAAGGCACAAGCCATGGCGCAACCGACAGGACACGGTTCTATTTTCGGCAGCCGAGGGCGCAACCGATGGCGCACCGACAGGAGGCGGTTTTATTCTCGGCCGCCGAGGGCGCAACCCATGGCGCAACCAAGAGGAGACGGTTTTATTCTCGGCCGCCGAGGTGCCAGGAAAAGGAGGATGACCAGGAGGAGCAAGAGGAGAAACGAGGACGAGGTCCTAGACAAGGACGACGACGAAGAGTTGGAGCAGGATAGTGAGGAGGAGGACGAGGAGAAGGACGAGGAGGAGGATGAGGACGAAAACGATCAGGATGGGGAAGAGGACGGGGAGGAATACGAGTAGTACGAGGATGAAGTGCGGGCATTCGAATGCGTGCGGGGCCAAGCTCGATTTATGCTCGCCCGTGGGGCCGGCGGTATGGCCCAAGCGGCGAGCTGTCTTGTGATTTTTCATGCGGCTGGACGTAATGGTGACCTTTTGCCGGAGTGACCTTCTGGTGCGGGTACAGATGGGTCCCCAGATGGTTGAATGCGAAGAGGTAGCAGCGGCTTGCGCGCCCTGGTTTGGCCACCCCGCGTCCCCCGCTGAGCAGCGCACCGCAGGCCACTCTTACCCAGGGTCGTTTTTGCATGTAGTTGATTTATGGGCCGGCGGGGAAAACCATGGGCTGGCGGGGACGGCCCTCCTCGCACAGCTCGGGGCTGGGTGGGAGCGGCCGGCGTGGCCCCCGGCCCGCGCGTGTCCGCGCGCAGCCGCTTCGGCCCCCCAGCTTCGCCTTGGGTCACCGAGCGCGTTCCACCACTCGCAAAGTGCCTCCTCGCAAACGTTAGACAAAAACACGCGGCGGATCCTGGCCATTGGCGAGCAGTCACTCTGCGAGTAGTGGAGCGCTCTTGTCTATCTGAGATCACGGAAGGCCGGGTTTCATTTTTTCCCTTCTGTCCATCTTTGTCCGCCTTCGTTGGCAGCGCACCGCTCGCAAAGTCTCGGCATGGCCTTCCGAGGCCCGTCCTTATCATGAGCGGTCTGACTAAACGTCCCCGGGACCCCCCCGGGCCGCGCACATCGGGGGGCTCGTAATGGGTAGGCGATAAATGAAGACGCAGCGAGGGCTGCAAAAAGGGGCCCTTTCGGGCCCCTCAAGGGGCCCTAAAGGGCCGAAGGGGGGGCCTGTAGGGCCCCAAGAGAGCACCTTCCTTCCTCCCCCATGTATCGCCCCCCCCTATGAATTCGCGCCCAAGCCTGCCGTGATCGGGACGAAGGCCGATTCAGACCCCCTTTCGGGTCATGAAAATATCAGGACAGCAGGTTTCTGCTAATTATTGGCCTCTGGAGGCCCTCACTGGGCCTCGGGACCGTGAAAGAACGAGTCAGGATGAAAAACTGATCCCGGGAAATGGGTCGAGACTTATGAACATTTCATGACGTCGGGGGTCTGGGGATAGGAATTCCTGCCCATTTTGAACAAGAAGCGTTGTCGGTGTCGCCGCGGACGCTGTCCACTTGAGGCCGAAGGCCGCCTGCCCGACAGCAGCCGCTGTGGGTTTTGGACAGCATTTGCTCTTGGGCATCGTGCCCATTTTTTCCGTACCCGTTTCGGGCGTCCAAACAGCCGGCACCAGGAGGGAGGATCGGGAGGGACGAATACCCACGGACACGAGTAGACTCGGTTCCCGGGACGACACTGGACAGTGTGGGAGGTGGAGGGAAATCGAGCATCCGGAGAATAGTGCAAGACGGTGGCAACCCTGGGATCTGCGGCCACTTGTTTCTGCCCCCGGGGCACCGTCATGAGGAGGAGGGAGCGCTGCGGCGGCGCCTCCTGCGGTGCCGCAGGCGCCGCCGTGCGTCGCAGCGCTGCCGCTCGTCGCTGCGCCTCTGCCTGGCAGCACTTGGATGGCCTCTGGGCCTCGCCTCCTCGGGGCTCCTCTCGGCTCCCCCGCCTCGACTGGAGCTCGAGACTTCCGGCGGATGCTCCGACTCCGCTTCGACGTTTTTAATCGGCTTCGGGCTCCGCTCCGGCCTCCGATGTCTCGGCGGAGGCCCACCCAGCCCGCCCATGTGTCCGCCGACTCGAGATCCCTCCCGGCTCGGCGGCCGAGGCCCGCCGAGCTCCGATGCTTTTCGAGCCGATGCCTGCGCGCGGACCCGCTGGGGTTCGGAGAGCAGCGCATGCCCTGCGCCCGCGCGGGAGCGCCATGCCCGAGCGAGGCCTCCGAGGAACGAACGCGATGGCGACATGTCTCGGCAGGAGTGAATCGATCTAGCCAGCTCGAGAGAGCCTCCGAGAGGACGGCAAGAAGTACTTCACGTGGCACCCCACGCACTTCGCCAAGCCCGACGAGCTCCTCGGCGGGCCCCGGGGGGCGGCCGGGGGACGCCCCGCCTCCCGCCCCCCTCGGCACATCGCTCGGGCGTGCGCCTGCTGCTCGGCGAGGGCCCTCGGGGCGGACGTGTGCGCACTGTTCCTCGGCGAGGACCCTCGAGGAGCACCCTGCGAAGAAGAGAAGAAACGCCATGAGCATAAACTTTTGGCGCTCCGCGCGGAGTTCCTGGATGTGCGCTGGGCCCCCCTCCAGCGGCGCCTCCAGCGCCGCCCCTGGCGGGCTCCGCGCGCCAGGGAGGGGGGCCCCAGCGCGGATCCAAGAAGTCCGCGCGGAGCGCCCAAAGTCTATGTCCATGGCGCTGCTTTCTTCTTCTTTTTTTCTCCTAATCTAATCTTGGATCCTCGAACGAACCAAAGAAAATCTTGGATCCTCGAACGAACGAACCAAAGAAAATCTGTGTCTTCTTTTTTTCCTAACCTTGGATCCTCGAACGAGCCAAAGAGAAAGCACGCACGAAACCTGCAGCAGTGCACGGGGCATGGGCGCTCCTGCGGCTTCTCCGCCTCCTCCCCGCCCGTGCTCCTCTCTCGTGCTCCCCGACCCTCCTCTCGTGCCCTTCCCCGCTGCGCGGCGGCGAGGCCCGTCCGCTGCCACGCCACGCGGCAGCGCTCCTCCATGCGCGTGGCTCGGCGGAGCCGCCACCCTCCTCTCCTCCTCCTCCTCCTCCTCCTCCTCCTCCTCCTCCTCCTCCTCCTCCTCCTCCTCCTCCTCCTCCTCCTAGCTGCCGCTGCAAGCTCAGACAGCGATGCCAGCCCGCAGGCAACGCTGGAGGGCAGGGGCGGGAGCGCGCACGCCCACATCTTCGGCAGGGCGCGGGGAAGGGGGGCAGGGAGGTAGCAACATTCACACACCTTTACTTTTACTCTTTGCATGTATGCGCATCTGCACTTACAACCCTCTCGCCAGCAACTTCTCGGAGCGAATAGAAGATATATCAGCGGAGCTCAGAACATGGGACCTAATACTGTTGAACGGCACCCAGAAAAAGGCACTCCCTGATCAAGTAGAAGAAAGGCATAACCACATCAGGCACTGGAGCATCAGCTGCGGGTACAAGAAAGGGAGACTGATAAACGCCAGCTGCGGCCTGAGCTTCCTAGTTACACATCGTATAAGGAGGGAAGCACTACACGAGGTACTCAGACCACCCGCTGGACTCCAGGGACGTGTAGCAGGCATAAGATGAAAAGATAGTAAGTACGACTTCACAGTGTTCAATGTGTATTTTGCGGCCGTCCATGACAAGAACCACGCTGAGATAGCAAAAAAGATCACGTCATGGCTCGAAGAGCAGATGGACATGTTGCCCACGCGCACCACGATCATCATAGGAGGGGACATAAACTCGGACGTAGGGCTGTACAGAGACGGTGACGGGACGGTCGTTGTTGACCGAGGTAGGCACTGTGGACAAGTCGGGCCAAAGCTGGAAAATCAGGATGGCAAGCAGCTCAGAGAAATGTGCACGCGTAATGACTTAGCTATTTGTATTACTTTTTTCCCGACCGGCCCCACGTTCTTTGGCAGCAAGGGAGGTGCCAGCAGGATCGACCATCTGCTTGTCTCAGCAGGCGCACTACCATAGATTACTAACCGTGCTTGCCTGTATGGACCAGCCAAGAGATTGCAAAGCATAAAGGCTAGAGGACACCGAGACCACCTCCCCCTCGGCATGGAAATTACAGCTAATATTTACCACCACCCGAAGCCAGAGGCAAGAGAGGAGAAGGTAGACAGGGACGGGTTGATGAAGTGCCTGAGGACGGGTTGGAAGAGGAGGGAGCTGTACGAGGAGGTGGATAGAAGGTTGCAGGAGAAAGAAGCAGAGTGGTCGACTTCCCTAGATAGGCTCTGGCCAGACGAAGCGCGGGCCCTCTTCATAGAAGCCGTGGGGGGAGCACTCAAGACCGTCTTCCCAGATCTGAATAACAAAAAAGATGAAATATATGAAACAGTTAAAAAAGAGAGAATGAAGTTACTCGAGCAGCGCCGACAGTGTAGAGAAGGATTGCAGCCAGAGATCGACGAAGAGCAGCTCGACAAGATCAAGGTTGAGCTGAAAGAATACACGGCGGCGCTGAAAATGCTCAGGAACAGGGACCTGGCCAGGCGTAGGGAGGAGCTCGTCCAGGAAATCTGGGAGGCCTACCAGGACAGGAATTTCTCACTCATGCACCGGTTGAGAGTTAAGTATGCCAATAATGGACGAGGCCCCAAAAAAAGATTCTACTATGCTCCTCAGACGTACTGGGACATTGAGACCTGGCAGGCCGAACTCGGGAAGAGGGCAGCAGAAGGGGGAATGTCGTGCACGCTTCTAGACTGGCAGCAGAACAGAGATACTTATTACCAGTCGCACGATGACGAGCTTCTGCCTCTAGACGCAGACGTCCAGTCCTGGGTGAATGAGGACAAGATCGCTATTAGGAAATACCTCTCAAGAGCCAAGAAAAGGAGGGCCTACCCACCCTGGGGGTTACAGAAGCGTCCCTCCTCATTGTCGACCCGAAGGTTAAGATGGAAAAGCCCAGCAGCCAGAGTGAAAGATGGGAAGCCAGGAAGATCAGGGAGGCGGAGGAGAAGGAGGACCAGGAGGAGCTAGATAAGTACACCACACTAGCCAAGTTCCAGGTTGGCAGGAAGCTGTTGGAGAAGATGGGGTGGAACATCGGGGAGACGGTGGGGCGACGGCAGAGAGAGGTATCATTGAGAGAGCCAGCGGAGTTGGCGGAGGCGGAAGCGTGGGAGGCGGAAAGAGGAAGGAGAGCAGGTGTAGGAGCGAGCAACCTTCGAAGCAGCAGTTACGAGTTTGAAGGTAAGTTCATGGAGCTCCTTGTGCACATACGGAGAACGCAAGAAATGCCTCTGGACACCAAGAGATCGCTGGCCTTCGATGTCACGAAAGGGAACGGGAAGAAGGGTATAGGAGGGAGGGGGATCATGCACACGTATTGCAGCATGGGTACGTGATGGCATCACGGCATAAACCGACGGGCTCCGTATCGGCCTCGCCCTGTATGGGCGCAAGGCGGACTGGCAGCGCGCTCCAGGGAGAACGCTTTGATTTGCCTGCTTGGGAGTAAATGGAGGCCAGAGGTTGCAGGGGTGTCGATCGTCGTCAGCAATTATGACTGCGCGAATGCATTCGCGGGTACATCACGTGAACCCCTCTGCGACCTTGTGGAGAGGCAAGCTTTAGAGCGAGACAAGAGATATGCCGTGGGAGCCATTGTCCACCAGTCATTGACGATAAGAGCATCAAACGGCATGGCACACCTTCAGAGCCACACGGGCACGCAGATGGGGTTCACACTTGCACCCAGGGACTTCAATGACATATACAATGAACACGTCGAGGAGTGGGAGGAGGGGGAGCACGAGCACGGGCATCACGAGCTGCTAGAGACAGAGCACCCGATCACGAACACATACCACAACTTGTCTCTCAGCACGTTCATGGATGACATTACGAAAATACATGTGTTCACAGAGGGTTGCAGCTCGGAAGTCATCACGCAGTTTCTGAACGATTCGACGCGCAGGCTGGAAAAGGTCATCGAGAAAGGAGGGTGGACACTCAATGCAGGAAAGACTAACCATCTTCTCTGTCTTCGAGGGGAGGGGAGCTACCAGGCAACCCGGAGGCTAAGAAGGACTAAGGAGCTGCACGGAGCTGCCTGCAGAGAGGTAAGGGTCCTGGGGCCCTACATCCCGTCGGACCAGGGACTGCTCGGTGAAGTATCTCGGCGATGTGATGCTGCAAAGATGGCGCGGAGACAATGTGGAGCTTTCTGGAAGGCACGAACAAGTAAGACAATAAAAAAGATGATGTTCGAGGCTTTCGTTACTGGAGCTGCTTACAGTGGTATGGTAGTATTCGTCCTCCCCCCGTCCTTGATTAAAGTTATCGACTCGACGTTAGCTAAGCTACTAAGATGTTTAGCAGAAGGAGATCTGAGTTGGACGGACGAAAAAGGAGAAACAAGATGCAGCACAAACAAAGAAGTATTTAAGTACTGGGGCCTCAACGACGCAAACACCACTCTTCGAATGAGAAGGTTGAAATGGTACCAGGCGTGGGCTAAGTACTCAGAGCAGCACATCGGAGTTCTCGCGGCTGTATTTGGAGAGTCACGACTGGACCAGTTAAGGCAGACCCCGAGGATGACCCCAGACAAGTGCGTGTGGCCCCCGGGCAGTGTTGGCCAGTCTACTCCGTGGGCTGTCCAGTTTCGAGAGGACATGGACGAGCTTGCCCAGGTGGACGAGAGCATGTCGGTATGGTGCAATGCGCGTTCTAGCGACTTGGACATCTTCATCCCAGGTACCGAGGCACATGACAGATGGTCACTGGTCGATCCTAATATCCTAGGTAACACAAAGAAAAGAAGAAAGGTGGGACCCGAGGGCCAGGTGGAGGAGGAGGACATGGTCGACGAGGAGGTTACACTGGAGGAGTTGGAAAAACCATACTGGCGCGACCATCAGGAGGGAGGAGGGGGGACATGCGGGAAAAGGTTCTCGAGCATCAGCGCCCTGAAAGGACACGTAAGAGAAGCACACAACATCAGGGATGCCCTCTCCAACATAGTCATTACTAATCAGTGCCCACGGTGCCTCTCGGGGTTCTCCACGAGAAGGGTCGCTCTAGATCATTGTGTGCGTGCATGTCAAAGACACGGAGTATGCCACGTGGATAAGTCAAGGTGGCCCCACCCGATCCTCCCCCCAGATTCTCTGGTCTGTAACATTTGTGATCAAGAGTTTCCTGACATCGCGAGCTTTCATTATCGCGCCCGCTTCCACTACTTCGGCCCAGACATAGTCGTGGGCGCCCATGATGAAGGGATGGAGGATCGGCAAGAGAGGAGCAGACGGCAGCGGGAGTGGAGACGTTCCAGTAGCAAAGTTGCCGAAAGGCAAGGGCGGCAAGAAGGCACGGCAGCAAGGAAACGGAGCAGATGGAGACATCGTACAGGCGGTGATGGCGGTGCAGAAGCTCAGCCTCAGGACAGCTGCCGTCGCCAGAGATCTATCAAATATCGTAGGAGAGTTCTGGCTCGTGCCGTCAGGGCACGACATCATCAAAGCAGCAAAGGAGACGGGATCGAGCTACAACGAAAAGGTGCAGTCTCTAGGAAAAGGGCACGGACTAGGACCACCGTATCTTCATGTGTCGGTGGCGGCGCTCGAGGCGATGGCGACGAGTCTGGGCGAAAACGAGCCAGAGGAGGCGCAGGCGAAGATCAGCATCTCGCAGTGGGTAGAGCAGGCCGAGTCGGAGGCGGGACAGGCATTCGTGGGGGAGACGATCAGAATGTTCAAAGTGAGCGACACGTTCAGGGCGGACGACGAGATGGACGACGGGAAGCGCATGACGAAGGTCATGTTCGCCCTCAGCCCGCACTACGACATAACCACGGCCATGAAGCAGATGAAAATCCAGACGACGGGGGCCAAGCCTCCGATGGAGTTCAACGGGGTGAGGCTCCTCTAGGCCATGGGAGTTGCGCTGCACAAGGCGGGAGGTCACAGGCCAGTGGGGAGCGGACCGAAGGAGGAACTAGACAGGGTGGTCGAGCGCCAGTTGAAGGCGCTGCAGAAGAAATGATCGTGATAATAGGCAGTAGAACAGAGAGAGAAGCAGAGTTTGTGGCAGCTATGCAGGCAGACCCCATGGCTAAGATAGCCACCGACCCTGTAGCTATGACTAGACTTAGGCAAATGCAGAGTGAAGGGTCGCAGCACGCCAAGAGAATTTTAGAGAAAGCAGAGTTTTTCCGTTCTAAGTTTAGTGAAGAGCTGAGAAAGCTAGAGAACGAGTAGCGTTTTCTTCTGTCGAAGGCCTGCTGGCTAGGATTGGTAGGCGGGTCCTGGCCCTTGTGGCTCCGTCGACCAAGTGAAGGCTAGTGGGCTGACGAGAGAAGGCAGAGGGTTTTTCTTTCGTTATAAGTTTAGTGCAGAGCAGTGAAGCGCAGACTCCGTGACAGCCATCACGGTGCCCGATCTCTGCAAGACTAGAGTATGAGTAGAGGGCGTGTCCCCTTCTGTAGGAGGCCTACGGGCTGGCCCTGGTAGGCGGGTCCTGGCCCTTGCGGCTCCGTCGACCAGGAGACGGCTGGTGGGCTGACAGGAGAAGGGAGCTGCCCTGCCCAGCCTGGGCCGCGCGCTGCCAGGGAGCAGCAGCCGCCAAGGCCACCCCGTCTCCGCCTCTTCCCCCCTCCTTTGAGAGTGTCCTCCCTCCCTCTTCTTCTCTTTCCCGAGTGTGCTGAATGCGGGTGCCTTCCCGCTCGACGGGGCACCCTCCCGCCTCATCGAGGCAGAGGGCCGCCCTGAGCATGCGCCCTTGCGAGTATTGATGATACAGGGCGCGTGAGAGATCCACGCAGGGGAGCCCGAAGTGCTGTTGCAGCCGATGGACATGCACCCCCGAGCGCAGAGCCGAGCCGAGCCGAGCCTCCTCCTCCTCCTCCTCCTCCTCCTCCATGCGCGTGGCTCGGCGGAGCCGCCACCCAGGAAGCATCAAGCACCGATACAGGCGCAATATCCGAACCCTCCTCTTTCTTTCAGGAGGGAAAACACACACAGACACGATGAGCCGTCGACCCCCAGGGAAATCATGGGAAAATATGGGAAGTGGGGGGGGGACGAAAACCCAGAAAACATGGGAAGACATGGGAAATCCTGGGATGTGTGTGTATTTATGTGTGTTTTTGTAGGCCCCTTCACTCCTGTCTCTTCCCCTCCCCTCGGGCCCCGACCGCGGCTGGCACCGCCCCTCTTTCCCTCCGGACCTGCTCCGGCCGAAGCCGCGATGCCCGCCCGCGGGCCCGCATACGGATTGTTGAGCTCAGCCGCGCGCAGAGGGAGGCAGGGGGGAGGGGGGGGCTCCTTAGAAGCACTCCTGCTTCTAAGAAGCCCTCCCCTCCCCCCACCCCCTTGTGCGCGCCGCCAGTAAGCTCACTATCCCGGACCACGACCTTCCTGAGGGGTGTGCCGAAGTGGGCGTGGGCTCGCACACGGATGGATCCACTGAGTCCGCAGGTGGAGCTCACTGTGGGGCCACGATCCTCTTGAGGGGCGTGCCGAAGTGGGCGTGGGCAGGAGCGTGGGTGCGACGAGGAAGAGTCCAGGAAGAGGAGGGAGGCGGAGGAAGAGGAGGCGAGGAGGTGAGGCCCGCGGCGTTGCGGGCTCAAAACGAGGACCCAGCAACGCAGGAGGGTGGGGAACAGCTGCACGATTTCTTATTTGAGATGTCCCGACTAGCTGAGCGCGAAGGGACACGAGGAGCACTGTTGGTCAACACCCCTTTGGCAGGCCCGAGTGCGATGCATGCTACATTGCGGTGGTCAGGGGGGTTGAAAAGAGAGGACTATTTTCAAAGCGGGCGTGTCACATGAGATGCGCCAGACATTTGGGCACGCATTGCCTTCTGTCTGGCCGGAAGAGAAAGTGAGAGTGACCGTGAGAGTGACCGTGAGAGTGCGAGCGAGAAGGATCGAGATGGTGAGCGTGACAGTCAGAGTCACAGTAGGGGTCAGGGGTACGATGAAGTGCAAGAGGCATTCCACAGAAATCCAAGTAAGTGCAAGAGTAAGGATGAAACAGCCAGTAGTGGTTATCCGTAAGGGCTTCGCCCCCTGCCGCCGGCCCCCTCTCTCGGAGAATGGGCCATGGAAGAGCTAAGTCATGAGGCCTTGGCGCTGTCGTGAAGCAGTATCGAAACTTCATGCGAAGCCGATTCGCAGTCAGCAAAACCAACTGATCAGAAGAGGGTTACCACACCTGGCGATTGGTAAGACGTGTATGGTTTACGGGCTTGGTTACCACACCTTGCGATTACAGGGCCGAGGGAGTTCTCGCAGTTTGGGTTACCACGCCTTGCGATGGATGTGCGTGAAGGGTGGCACCGAATTTCAGAAATGTGGCAAATCCCCTGTGTTTTTGGACCCTGACCCCGCGGATCTGCGTGAGGGGTGGCACCGAATTTCAGAAATGTGGCAAATCCCCTGTGTTTTTGGACCCTGACCCCGCGGATCTGCGTGAGGGGTGGCACCGAATTTCAGAAATGTGGCAAATCCCTTGTGTTTTTGGACCCTGACCCCGCGGATCTGCGTGAGGGGTGGCACCGAATTTCAGAAATGTAGCAAATCCCATGTGTTTTTGGACCCTGACCCCGCGGATCTGCGTGAGGGGTGGCACCGAATTTCAGAAATGTGGCAAATCCCGTGTGTTTTTGGACCCTGACCCCGCGGATCTGCGTGAGGGGTGGCACCGAATTTCAGAAATGTGGCAAATCCCATCAGGGGTGGCACCGAATTTCAGAAATGTGGCAAATCCCATGTGTTTTTGTCGGACCCTCAGCAACCCGCGCGGATCTTGTTTGGGCCTCCCCCCCCTCGCGCGGTCAATCAACTAGTTACAGTAACCAGCAAGAAGTCAACTAGTTACAGTAACCAGCAAGAAGCAGAACTGTAACACTGGAAACTACAACCTACGACTGGTACAGGAAACTGCGAATCACGGTCCTACAGCCTGGTGGCCCCACAAGGGGGCCGGCGGATTGTGCGACGGCCCCCGTTATATGTTAGGATAAGAACGCCCCTTGGGCCATCCAAGGCGAACACACAGTTGTATTTTTTCAGCGCCCTCGCCAAACCACCCGCTCCTCTGCGTGTGTTTGCTACTTGCGGAATCGAACGTGCGGCAGTGAACACATGCAGGGATCGCCCGATGCGAGGGTCAGCGGGGCTGCAGTGGGATCCCGGGAGCTCTTGAGGGGCTCTGGGGGTGGCCTCCCTCCCGCCCCATCCGCCATGGGGCCTCTCCCAGCCGGGGAGGGTGAGGGGAACAGACTACGGCACCCGCGGCGGCGCGAGCCTCACTGCGCTCCGCGGCTTCGGCGGATGGTCCGAGGGGACGGAGGAGGAGAAGAGAAGGGGGAAGGTAACAGGGGAGGAAGGGAGCAAGAGCCGCGTTGAGGCTCACAGGATCGTCCCTCGACCCCCTCGCTTTTCCACCCTTCTCATCCCCTCTCCCTGTCTTCTCCCTTGTCCAAGCCCCCTTCCCACCCACCTCCTCATCCTTCCTCGAGGAGGAGGATGGACAGGAAAGATGCGGAGGAGGGAGGGGGAGGGGGAGGGGGAGGGGGATGGGAGGAGGAGGAGGAGGAGGAGGAGGAGGAGGAGGAGGAGGAGGAGGAGGAGGAGGAGGGGGGAGCGAGGAGGAGGAGGAGGAGGAGGAGGAGGAGGAGGAGGAGGAGGAGGAGGAGAGGAGAGGAGGAGGAGGAGGAGGAGGAGGAGGAGGAGGAGGAGGAGGAGGAGGAGGAGAGCGAGATCGAAGAGGACATGAAGGGGTTCTCCACCCATCCCGCGTCCCATCTGTGCGTCCGCGCGCGAGGGCGACGGGAGAGAGACCCCTGGCCCTGCTGGAGGGGAGGCGCCCTCGAGCAGTCCAAGCGGAAGCTCGTCACAATCGTGGACCCGCACATCAAGCGGGAGACCGTGGGGAGGGGTATATAGGGGGAGGGCGAGCAGGAGGCCCAGATTCCCTCGCGAGCTTCAAGGCCCACTGAAGCGTGCGGCGTGCTTCGCCCCCCCCCCCCCCCTCCGCCACAGGGTGCGTCGCGCATGCGTCGCCCGTGCGTCGGCCGCCGAAGAGGCCGGCCGCCCTCGCGAACGTGCAGGCCGCCGCTGCGCAGGGGGCCTGGGTGTTTTTGGCGAGTGCGCCGCCAGCTCGGCGGGCCCTGAAGAAGCCGACGAGGGCCCCCTCGCGCCGCGAAGAGATCAGCACGGCGGGTGCCTGAAGGGGGAAGAAAAGGTTAATTCCCGGTACAATGGTTCAATTTCCAGGAAATGCGTTCAGTCCTTGGACATTTTGCATTATATCTATATATATATATATATATACAGAGAGAGAGAGAGAGTGATGACAAATCATACTATGCTTCTTTTCCGCCTGAAAAATCTTCTTGGGGGGCCTGCCCGAGCCTTTGTTGGGCGTCCTGGGGGTCCTTCTTGGCCCTGTTGGAGGCCCTCTTGGCCCTGTCGGAGGCCCTCTTGACCCTGATGGAGGCCCTCTTGGCCCTGTTGGAGGCCCTCTTGGCCCTGTTGGAGGCTATCTTGGCCCTGTTTGGGGCCCTCTTGGCCCTGATGGAGGCCCTCTTGGCCCTGTTGGAGGCCCTCTTGGCCTTGTTGGAAGCTTCTTGCGCGTCCCGAGTGCCCTCTTGGGCGTCCTGGAGACCCCCTTGGGCGTCCTGGAGGCCTTCTTGGGCCTCCTGGAGGCATTCTTGGGCGTCCTGGAGGCCCTCTTGGTCCTCCCAGAGGCCCTCTTGGGCGTCCTGGAGGCCCGTCTTGGGCGTCCTGAAGGCCCTTGTGTGCGTCCTGGAGGCCCTTCTTGGGCGTCCTGGAGGCCCTCTTGGGCCTGTTGGAAGCTTTCTCGGGCGTCCTCTTGGGCGTCCTGGAGTCCCTCTTGGACGTCCACGAGGCCCTCTTGGACGTCCTGGGGGCCCTTCATAAACGTCCTGGAAGCCCTTCTTGGGCGTCCTGGAGGCCCTCTTGGGCCTGTTGGAAGCTTTCTTGGGCGTCCTGGAGGCCTTCTTGGGCCTCCCCGAGGCCGTCCTGGGCGTCCTGGAGGCCCTCTTGGGCGTCATGGGGGCCCCATACGAAAGTCCTGGAGGCCCTTCTTGAGCAGCATCCTGGAGACCCTCTTGGGCCTGTTGGAAGCTTTCTTGAGCGTCCTGGAGGCCTTCTTGGGCTCCTGGAGGCCGTCCTGGGCGTCCTGGAAGCCGTCTTGGGCCTGTTGGAAGCCTTCTTGGGCTTGTTGGTAAGCACAGCGATGGCTTGCAATTCGCTGGTAAGCACAGCTACCAGCAAAGGTGCCAGTACACCTCCCAGTAAAGCTACCGCTCCAAGCGCAGCTACCGCCACAGGAAACAGTGCAGCTCCCAGTAACATGAAGGGATCGGCTCGGTTCGGTTCGGTCCGGTTCTGCAGCCGGGTCGGTTTTGCTTGGCCGGTTCGGTTTGGCATCGGTCCGGTTTCGGCCGGTTCGGCTTGGGCCTGCCGCCGGTTCGGTTCGGTTCCGGTTTTCGCGCGGTTGGGTCCGACCGGTTCGGTTCGGTTCGAGTGGCCGCTCCGGTTCGGTCTTAAGCGACGACCCAGTTTGAAAAAAAGGGAGGGAGGGAGGAGGAGGAGGAGGAGGAGGAGGAGGAGGAGGAGGAGGAGGAGGAGGAGGAGGAGGCGGAGGAGGAGGAGGAGGAGGAGGAGGAGGAGGAGT